CTAAAACAGAAGGATCACTTGAGGCCAGGGGTTTTGAGACCAGCCCAGGCAACATAGCAAAGCCTCATCTCTACAAAAAATTTAAAAATTAGCTGGATATGGTGGTGCATGCCTGTAATCTCAGCTATATGGGAGGCTGAAGTAGTTGGATTGCTTAAGCTCAAGAGTTTGAGGCTGCAGTGAGCTAGGATCACGTTACTGCACTCTAGCCTGGGCACCAGAACACAACCATGTCGCTAAAAAAAAAAAAAAAGTATTATGGCAAGTTAGGAAACATTTATGTAAATATATATGTAACAAAGGTACTAAGTGCGATGAATCAAACAAACTTTAGCAAGCAAAATGTTATAGATCCCACCAATAAACCTGCACAATTCTTAAGAGCAAACTCTCCCTAAAATACTTTACTAGTAAGTATGAGAGAGACCTGAGTTCTGTCCATCCTATAAAGAGTATTTCTGTACCTGATGTAATGTAATACTGGGGGTGTGCAGGTCAATAGCAGCCAGAGAAGGAATTCGAGATTCTGAAAGAATTTTGCTCTCTTTCTTTGTTAGCCTGGAATTTCGAGCTAGATAAAAATGACCATAAACACAGTGAAAATATTAGACATTTTGTTAGTTTTTAGTTTTTGACATTCTCTACTTGTTACTCAGTATGTACTTATTAAAATAGGTATTTACATACTTAAATATGTAAAGTTACTATGAATTTTTATTTTTAAATTCTGTTTATTTAACATACATTTTAAATACTCTAAACAGACTATACAAAGTAAAAGTATTATCAACATACCTGTGCCTTCCAATGCTCTTAGTTCAGGGAGATGATTATAGTTTAGTTCAGGCAAATGGACATCTGTCCTGGAGTACTCCCTTCTTTTCTTACTTGCCCGAAAGAGGCTTTTTTCACTAGAGACCTAATATCATCAATATAGTCAACAAAAAAGAATTAGTTTCAAGGTTAGCTAGGCTTTCCTTCTTTTGTAACTCCTATGCTCATATCCTAAAATTTGTGAAATTGAAGGTCTATAATTAACACATTGAAGGACATTAATAATAGAAAAAAATTTCATCCAATTATTTCAAATGTCTTCCTCATTAAATTCATTAAAATTGCTAACAAGTAGATAACTTGATTGCTATGAGTTTCTCCTTCTCCCTTTGTCAATTATCAGTGTGTAAATCCCAGCAAGTAGTAAAAGGTTAAAAGATAGGCATTGATGCCCTGGTTCTTCAGGCCAGCAAGGTTGGGCCTTACAACACTTCCTAGGCTTTTCAGCAAATAGTGCTGTTGTCTTCATAAATTTTGAACAGTTTATCTTCACGTGTATATCACATCTCCCCCTAGCTTATTTTTCACTTTCCCAATATAATTTTGTTATTCATTTTTCTATATTTGTCCTTGTCTTGCTCCTCAGAGTAAGAATATAATACTATCCTCCTAGGAATACAATTTATTAAGTAAAGTATTATAACTTCAATTATTTTCCTAATCTTTCTTAGTACTATTATTTCACAGTTGATAAAGTCAGAAAAAAATAGTGAGGAATAGCAGCAGCACTTCAATTCTGCATCCTTATGAATTTGACACTTTTCCAATATTTTTCATTCGAGAATCACAGAAACTCTGTATTCATATGTATGTATAATGAACTACATACACACAAGCATATGTATAATGACATTAAGTTATTGAGGTTCCTTGATGCCTCAAACTTAATATTCTGTGAGTTATGCCATTCTGGCTGCCAGAAATTCTTCACGAGTCCTGCAGTGAGCTTTTGCATTTCTTTCTTTTAGATGTTTCTGCTTACTCTTTTCCAAGCGCTAAGGCTATTGGTTCAAGTTGGCTATAAAATAAAATAGCTCAAGAAAACTACATGCAAGTACAAAAAATAAAATTTGAAAATGAGTTTAAACTACCAGATTAACACATTCAAAGTGTGAAAATAAAACACATAATAAGTATTTATAATAATATATTTATTCACACATCAGAATGGAGGCATAAAACATGGGAGAGAGGTACTGATCTTTAACATACAAGTTGAAGACAGTCTAGGCTTAGCTCTGCTTGCATTAATTTTCATTAAGGAAAGACTTCACTGGGTCTTCGCCCTCCTAATCTTCACCTCCTTTCTTGATTACCTCTTCCAAAGAAGAATAAATCAGATCTAAAATTATCAGCCAGCATTGATTATGCAATACCTGAAAGCAGGTTGATATCAGTTCTGGCAAAATGGCATTAAACCAGCTATTTTGAAAAGCCTTCCTGATTAAAATAATCTTCCAAAGCAAATCAGGATTTTAAAACACAAATATCCACAAAGAAACCAAAAAAGAAAGTATTATAAGCACAGAAATTATAAACTAAGAATAATTAAAAGAAAAATAAATACCATGTCCAAATCATGAGAGAGCTGAAAAGGCTGTATTTTCCAGCACTGAAGATAGTGAGAGAAGTAGAGAAAGGAAATTTGTCACACACACACACACACACACACACACACACACACACACACACAAATACCCCTTTGGGAATACATCCATACCTCCCTTTGTTGTGAAAAGCATTCATTCATTCAGTGTGGAGTCTTTCCTTAATGAAAATTAATGCAAGCAGAGATAAGCCTAGATTTCCTTCAACTTGTAGGTTGTAGGTCAGTACCTCTCTCCCATGTTTTATGCCCCCATTCTAAGGTGTGAATAAATGTATTATTATAAATACTTATTATGTGTTTTATTTTCAGTCTTTGAATATGTTAACCTGGTAGTTTGAACTCATTTTTAAATTTTAGGCCAGGCATGGTGGCTCACACCTGTAATCCCAGCACTTTGGGAGGCCAAGGTGGGCAGATCACCTGAGGTCAAGAGTTTGAGACCAGCCTGGCCAACATGGAGAAACCTCGCCTCTACTAAAAATAGAAAAATTAGCTGGGTGTGGTGGTGGGTGCCTGTAATCCCAGTTACTCAGGAGGCTGAGGCAGGAGAATCGCTCAAATCAGGGAGGCGGAGTTGCAGTGAGCTGAGATCATGCCACTGCACTCCAGCCTGGGCAACACAGTGAGATTCTGTCTCGAAAAACATATAATATATATATATATTTGTACTTGCATAGGAAGGAAAAGTACAGTGAGGAAAACAAAAGCACAAATCTCTGCCTTGGAAGCTTACATTCTAGTCGGGGGAGACAGACAATATATAAATAAGAGTGTATAGACGATGCCAGGTATATGCAATGGAAAAAAATAAGCAAGGAGAAGGCATCGAACATAAAGGGAAGCATAATGAGTTACAAGACTTCACAATAAGGTTTCATGTGAACTAAGGAAGAGAAAAAGTAAATCCATTGGATTATCTGGGGGAAGGATATTCTAAAGCAAAAGAAATAGCAAGTGCAAAAGCCCAAAGGTGGGAGTATGTCTGACCATGTTCCAGGAATAACAAGGAAATCAGTGTGGTAGAACAGATTGATGGAGAAAGAGTAGGTGGGGATGGGATAGAGGGCTGGGTGGAGTCAATCATGCAGGCACTTATAGACCCTGTAAGGACTTTGGCCTTTCCTCAGAGATAAGAAGCTAATGGAGTATGTTGAGCAGAAGAATGATGAGGGTTTCACGTAACTTTAAAAGAGAAACATTCTGGATGCCATGCCGAGAATAATAATGCTCCTTCCTGTGCTATCTCTAAATACAATATGATACTATGCTTTAATTTGCTGATCCTCTAGATCATGAAGTCCTTGAAAAGAAAGATTTATTTATTTCCAGTGTCTCACACATAATAAATGATTGATAAATATTTATTATATAAATAAATAGAATCGTTTCTCTCTGTTTCTTTTTTTTTTTTTTTTTTTTGGTGAGACAGGATCTTGGTCTGTTACCCAGGCTGAGGTGCTGGGGCACAATCACAGCCACAGTTTACCACTGTATCCTCAACTTTCCAGGTCCACCCATCTTAGCCTCCCAAGTAGCTAGGACTACAGTCATGTGCCACCATACCCAGCTAATTTTTTTTTTTTAATTTTGTAGAGACAGGATCTTGCCATGTTGCTCAAGCTTGTCTCAAACTCCTGGGCTCAAACTATCCTCCCGCCTCAGCCTCCCAAAGTGCTGGGATTGTAGATGTGTGCTACCATCTCCGGCCAATAGAATACAGCCACCAAAAATCTGTTGTGGGTGAGATAAGACAATTTATATTCTCATCTACTCTAAAAAAGAACTGATCAGCAATCATCAAGGTGAGAAAATTTACTATGTTACTAAAGAAAAAATAAAACAAGCCAGGCACCTGTCTCTTATACACATCTAGATGTGTATAAGAGACAGCCTATAATCCCAGCACTTTGGGAGGCCAAGGCAAGGTGGATCACCTGAGGTCAGGACTCAAGACCAGCCTGACCAACATGGTGAAACCCTGTCTCTACTAAAAATACAAAAATTAGCCGGGAGTGGTGGCAGGCACCTGTAATCCCAGCTACTCAAGGGGCTGAGGCAGGAGAATTGCTTAAACCAAGGAGGTGGAGGTTACAGTGAGCCAAGATCACGCCACTGCATTGTAGTCTGAGCGACAGAGCAAGTCTTCGTGGAAAAAAGGAAGAAAGGAAAAGAAGGAAGGAAGGGAGGGAGGGAAGGAGACAGGGAGGGTAGGAGGGAGGGAGGGAGGGAAGGAAGGAAGGAAGGAAGGAAGGAAGGAAGGAAGGAAGGAAGGAAGGAAGGAAGGAAGGAAGGAAGGAAGGAAGGAAGGAAGGAAGGAAAGAAGGAAGGGAGGAAGGAAGGAAGGAAGGAAGGAGTTTTCAGACTTATAAAACTTATTTAAACTTTCAGAATTTCACGTTTATGGCTATGACGGGTTGGGATAATATATGCACAATTAAGGTTTCACTTTATGTGTATCCAAATAAAATTCTCAGTTCTTCACTATCATATTTACTTTTAATAAAAGTCTAGAGCTGACTGGTGTTTGCTCTTCTACTACTGAGAACTGCTTACTTACTAATGTGGTCACATTAATGTTATAAATGCCTGATGGGGAATGTCTGTTCGGTTTAACAAATGGAATAGAACACTTCTTAGTTTTCTCATCCACTCTGTAACAAAAAAAAAAAAAAAAATGTTTTTAGGTTAGAACCAGCAATAATTATTTTTTCAAGCACAAAACCAAATGACACAGCACCAACTAGCAATCAGTTTAACCAGAATGTAATATCTATTCTCAAATATACAATGCGCATAAATCTGGTGAAATATTCTATTCTTTAACACTACCCTCATGCCTCCCACCAGCCCCCAAGTCCTACCAAATACATTACCCTCCTTTCAGCAAAATTCCCAAATAGAGCTTCCTTATACTACTATAGGCTCACAGTCACACCATGCAGCAGCAACCACCCCAAAATTCTCTCTTTTACTATGACAACCTGCTTTCACATTACTAGAGTATATAGTTGTAGATTCTCTTCACCTTAAGGAATAAAACCTTACTTTCTCAGGACTTAGGTGAATTGTTTTGATCAAACGCTAGTAATTTTCATCACACAGCCAAAAAGTCTTTTGAAACAACTACCTGACAAGAATGAATAGCATCCAGAATTCTGAGAATAAAAACAATGTGGATGAATTGACAAACCCTTGCAATTTGCAAATATATCCTTAAACAATTTTTTGGTCTTATTTTGCTAATTCATACCTGTAACTCTGAATTGGTAGAGTTGCAGTTCCCATTCCAGAATTAATACCGGGAGCAACTGCAGAAAGATTGTGCATAAGCGGGGGAATTGCCACGCCTGGATTCCTTGTGTGGTCCACACTGACATTGCTGCAGTCTTTGAGGCTTGTTGAAGGCACTATTTTGATGTGGCTTGTCCTACTATCATGGAGACAGCTGGCATTTGAAGCTCTATTGCCTTTTTCAGCTTTTTCTCCATCAATTTTTGAGTGTTTTATTTTAAATAGTTTACAATCCTTAATTTTGGGATCAGCATTGGTATCCTGATCATTAATAAAAATATTAATAAGGTTAATGATCTGAAGAGAACGAAAATTCACCTCTTCTTATAAAGTACTTGTCAACTAGAGCAGAATATCATAAGTATCACCTTTTTCAACCTGTTTTCTTTATTCTACCTAAGGGTTTAAAATTAAAGCCAGATTCTTATTCAGATAGTTATTGGGAAAATATGAAAAGAATGGAAATGCAATTCACACAGCTCGCTCAGACATACACACACACACACATCAGTGGAAAAACTCATGGAAGAGGAATCAAGAATGCCACTTTTGTTCTTACATATTCAGAGTCAGGGAACACAAAACTGATAACTCTTTCTTCTTTTGCTGTACTTCATATGAGTGTATTGGTGGTGGATTTGAATTACCTTATCAAGAACAGATCCTGGATAATTTACTAGGAAAAGCGAACCTAAGTTAAGTATCCAAATCTCACTTTTCAAATGCTTTACTTTATATAAATTTCTACAAACAATATTTTTCACTCATATCCTTTAAGAAAGATAAGTGGGGTGAGGGTTGTTTGTTCCACGTGTCTGTGTGTGTATGTGTGCATGAAAACACATGTCTAGATGTTCTTGGATGAATGTGATTTAAGCACTGTTACACAGTCTGGCACCTAACAGGTACTCAAAACATGATATGTTAAGTTTTCTAAACAGGTAATATCTATTGAGAAGATATATTTTTGCAACTAAACTAAAAGTTAACAATATACTCACTGCTCAGAAAACTTTTTTCAAAATTACCATTTTTCTCAACAAATTTAAAAAAATAAGTATATTAAATTAAAAATGTGAAACATGAACATTTACCTGTACCACAAGTGTTTTTCTTTCTTCACCTAAGGAATCATCTTTTTCTTTTTCCTTCTTTCTGTTTTGGGATTTTTTAGATAAAGAAATATTTCTGGCATCTTTCTGTACTTTTAACTGTAGTTCTTGGGAAAACCTACATAAAAATATAATAAAATTGTAAGACATGGATAAACCTACAAAAAAAAATTGACTTTCAAGATATTTATTTTTTTAAAACTGAATGTTAAACTAGTCTATGTTATTAAAAATGTGAAAAATCCTGGCCTAGATCAGCAGTTTGGAAAGGGTGGTGTGTAGATCTTTGGGGATCCCTAAGAACCTTCACAAGGTTCACAAAGTCAATGCTATTATTTTAACATAAAGATGTTTGTCTTTCTTACCACATTAACAC